TTAATCAAAAATCATGTAAAGCTGTTAGTCAGAAAGATGGGACTATCCTGTTTAATGGTAAGAGGAAAAACAACATTTACAAAATCAAACTTTCTGAACTAAAGAGTCATAATGTAAAATGTCTTCTGTCTGTTAACAACGAGCAGTGGATCTGGCACAGAAGATTGGGGCATGTTAGTATGAGAAGAATATCTCAGATTAACAAACTCAATCTGGTCAGAGGACTTCCTAATTTGAAGTTCAATTCAGATGCTCTGTGTGAAGCATGTCAGAAAGGCAAATTTTCAAAACCTTCTTTTAAATCCAAAAATGTTGTTTCTACCTCTAAGCCATTAGAACTTTTGCACATTGACTTATTTGGACCAGTTAAAACTGCTTCAGTCAGTGGCAAGAAGTATGGGTTAGTAATCGTAGATGACTATAGCAGATGGACATGGGTAAAGTTCTTAAGACACAAGGACGAGTCACACTCTGTGTTTGTCACCTTCTGTAACCAAGTTCAGAATGAAAAGGATCTTAGAATCGTTAAAGTCAGAAATGATCATGGTGGAGAATTTGAAAACAAAGATTTTGAGTCATTCTTTAATGACAGAGGCATTCTGCATGATTTCTCTTGTCCTAGAACTCCCCAACAAAATGGAGTTGTAGAACGAAAGAACAGAATATTGCAAGAAATGGCCAGAACCATGATCAATGAGACAAACGTTGCTAAGACCTTCTGGGCAGAGGCAATAAACACAGCGTGCTACATTCAGAATAGAATCTCAATAAGACCTATTCTGGAAAAGACTCCATATGAATTGTGGAAGAACAGAAAGCCCAACATTTCATATTTTCATCCATTTGGATGTACTTGCTTTATATTAAATACAAAGAATTATTTGAACAAGTTTGACTCTAAAGCACAGAAGTGTATTATGTTAGGATACTCTGAACGCTCAAGAGGGTACAAAGTATACAATACAGAAACACAGATTTTGGAAGAATCAATCAGTGTTCGTTTTGATGATAAGCTTGACTCTGAAAAGTCAAAGCAGAATGAAGTTTTTGCAGGTATAGAAATTGAATTTGCAGGTTCTGAAGACAAGTCATCAGAAGCTCTCAACACAAACATTCCTTCAATGTCTGAAAGGAGCACTGCTAGCAATCCTACAACAGCTGCTGATCAACCTCAGAAGAGATTACCCAGAAGCAGCTTGGATCACCCAGAAGAGACTATCTTAGGAAGAAAGGAAGATCCAATCAGAACAAGAGAAAGCTTCAGAAACTCTGAAGAAACTCTTATGGGACTTGTGTCTCTGATTGAACCTTCTTCTATTGATGAAGCACTTCTGGATAATGACTGGATTCTGGCAATGCAAGAAGAGCTGAATCAATTCACCAGAAACGACGTATGGGATCTCGTTCCCAGACCAAAAGGATTCAACGTCATTGGAACAAGATGGGTGTTCAGAAACAAGCTAAATGAACAAGGTGAAGTCATCAGAAACAAGGCACGACTGGTTGCACAAGGTTATAGTCAGCAAGAGGGGATAGACTATACAGAAACCTTTGCCCAAGTCGCCAGGTTAGAATCTATCAGACTTTTAATTTCATTTGCTGTTAATAGAGGCATCACTCTGTATCAGATGGATGTCAAAAGTGCATTCTTAAATGGTTATATAGAAGAAGAAGTTTATGTACACCAACCCCCTGGTTTTGAAAATACAAAACATCCAGAACATGTTTTCAAACTAAAGAAGTCACTGTATGGTCTGAAACAAGCTCCCAGAGCTTGGTATGAAAGGCTAAGTAACTTTCTGTTAGAAAATGAATTCACCAGAGGGAAGGTGGACACTACTATATTCTGTAAATCAGTTAAGAATGACATCTTAGTCTGTCAAATTTATGTTGATGATATTATTTTTGGTTCTACTAAGAAGACGTGCTCCCTCTGGATAGTGAACCTTGGTCCGAGAAACAGCAAGCTGCAAAGGTGCAATCAGAAGAAGACAAGACCATTCAAGCTGAAGAAAGTCAAGCAGAAGATGTTGCTGAAAGCTCTTAGAAGCTTCCTGCTTCTGATGCTTCTCAAGCTGCCTTGGACAGGCAGACTCTGGAAGAACTAAGGCTGAATGACATGCGTCTGCAGCAGCGGATGGATGAAAGCGACCAGAAGATAAAAGAAAGAATGGATGTGCAGGATAGCAAGATTGACACTGTTGTCAGCATGGTGCACAAGCAGAATGAGACTGCTGAAAAGATCCAAGCCATGCTGGAGAACCTGTTCACACGCTTGCCTCCTCAACCTTAGTGTTTTGTACTATTTTCATGTCTTGATTCTGAACTCTTTTAATATGATTAGTTTTTCTGATCTTAAATTGTTTTAGCACTCACCTACACTTTTTGACTGCTGACAAAAAGGGGGAGAACAAGAATGATATTTTAAACAATAACGGCTAACTAGACAGAAATTCTCAAACATTCTAACTCTATTACTTGAAAATGTTTTTCTGTTTTGCTTAAAGTCTACAGGTACAAGGAAGCTCCTGAACACTCTGAAGACTATAGACTCTGATCACTATGAAGTTCTGATCCGTTCTGATACTCTGATCCAAAGCAAAGCTCTGACAAGAAAAAGCTCTGAAGCTCTGCTCTGACATAAAGCTTCTGATAGATCAAAGACTCTGACACTCTGATGTTCAAAGAAAGGCAAAAAGATCTGATCCTGAAGAACACTTGTAATCAAAGGGAAGTAATAAACTCAGGGGGAGTATCTCTCAACTCTGATAGCTTTTTACTCCTTATCCTTTTTACTTCTTACTCTGATGCATATCTCAGAAACCTTTTCACGTTATTTCCATTTAAAAATATCTAGTTTTTGTCATCATCAAAAAGGGGGAGATTGTTAGAACAAAGTTTGAATCTACTACCCTATATTTAAGTTTTGATGATAACAATGTGAAAAGATATAGTATTTATAAGTTTCATGTATGAACTATCTGCTGCCTAAAATTATTATGTTCTGACTTGCAGATACTCTAATTGATATAAGCAAGATCACATTTATTCAGCATCAGAATTTGGTTTCAGACACCAGCATCAGAAATTGCCATATCAGAATGACAGAATCAGATGATCAACTCACGTACATGCTGAAGCCTGATGAACAAGACTGCGCTCAACACTCTGATAAAGAAACACAACAGTTCATCAGCAGCGAAGCAGAGTCAGAATGAGCCAAGCCAGAACTTGCATTAAGTAAGCAACGGTACTGTGCATTGAAAGCAAATTAATTCCAACGGCCTCATTCCAGACAAGATCTGCTCAATAAGGAAAGTTTGTTATTAGCATTGAATCAAGAATATTGCATCCAACGTTCATCATCTCAGTGCTATATAAACAAAACTTTGAAGATTGAAATGGCTAATGCTCTCCAAATCCCTACACGCACAAAAGCTAATCAAAATCTTCTTTCTCTCAGTTTTGCTAAACACCACATTCTGATATTCTATCATTGTTTAGCAATCTAGTTTCTAAGCTTCAATTTGTGTATACATCACAGTTGTGTAGAAAACATTCACACACTTAGTTTTATCTCTTTGTAAGAAAGTGTTACCTTGACAAACCGGGTTGTGGTTTGGATCAAGAAGGCTTTAGCAGTTGTTAAAGCAGTCTGTAATATTCAGTTGAATATAGTGGATTAAGACCTCGTTGGAGAGAGGCGAAATCACCTTGACGGGTGGACTGGAGTAGTTTGAGATCAAACGAACCAGGATAAAAATATCTTATTCATTGCATTAGATTTCAGTTTTACAATTCAACCCCTCCCCCCCCCCCCCCCCCCCCCCCCCCCGTTCTTGTGTTTTTCACCACTTCAAAGTCATCAAGAATGTGGCCATATGATCCCTTACACTTGTCCATATCATTTAATATTTTGCTACAACAAATATTTTGAATATCTAATAAATATAATAATTGTTAAGTGATTTAAATTAAAAAATTGATTATAACAATATCATCAATTTAGAATAATTAATATTAATTATTGTTACAAACAAATTTATTCTTATTCATATTTCATTCTACAAAATCAATAAAATATCTTAAGCTTATTCTTTTGTAAACATACTCTTGAAATTCAATTTGACATAACTTTTGTTAAAATTAAATGCAATATATTTATGTAATGATACAAATATTATATGGAAAGTAAATGATGAACTAATATTTTATAGAAATTATTTTGTGAAAATTATCAATCTTAATCCTTACGTTATAATTCACTTTAATATTCAGAGGTAAATTACTCTTCTCTTTAACTACTACTGTAAAGTCTTTACTAAACTAATAAGTTACCTTTACATTGTTGCATCTTTGTATGCTCGGAAGCATCAACAATCCACATAGGTCAAATTTCATGACAATTAGTATAACCAACACCAAACCATATTTAAGACAAAATAGAGAGTCCTTTACTTTAAAAAAATAGCAAAATAGCCTCTACTTTAAAAAAATAGCAAAAAGAAGTTTTTTTATTAAAGTTTTTGAAATATAAATTTATAATTTTAGAATTAGTGACATGCATTGTGTACAGTTAGTTAGACTTCATAGTTTATAGACTCAACAATTATAACGAAACATTTGAGTAGTATAGTAACAAATTCAGCTACTAAGAGTTTGTTATAGAGGATTAAGGCTAGAAGCAAGACCTTCAAGATACTATCACACATGTTTAATCTAAACACCCTTTAAAAAAATCATTCAGAAACAACATAGAGTTTTAACCTGGAATTTCAGATAGTTGTAAAGGAGCATTGAAACATCTAACATCTAGAATCAAATAAAATGAGAAGAGATTTATGTCATCTCCGACTATACCATCACCATCGCGTCTCCTCACTCTCTTCGGCCATACCTCTGCTCATACATCGCCACTGAAGCCACTGTTAATATAAAAACTTTGCACTGCACTTCTATTTCCATCATTTTCAACACTACAAAAGGGTTTCACTAGAATTATGGAGAAATACTATAAGAACAGAAAAACAAATCAAAACCTCTCCTCCTTCATCGCCAGCTGCACGTTTAACCGTTCGTCTGACTACTCTCCCGTTATCAAGTTCATACTTGATAGAAATACTCCTCACATTCTCATTTTGTTTCTCCGCAGCTTTCGTCCGACCACCCTCTCGTTATCAGATCTTCATACATGCTGAAAAAACAAAAGAGGAAATATGTTAGAAAGATAAAGAAATAGAGTTGGAAGAGAGAGAGAGAAACTTATCTTCTTGTTAGAAGATAAGAAGAAGAATGTGTGAAGAAGATTAAAAATGGAGGAACAGAGAGAAAAGAGGAAGAGCTTATCCAGGAAGAAAGAGAAAAGATTTAGAAAAGTGAGTGGTCAAGGTGAAAAAGCAGAAAAAGTAGGTTTGAATTAGTTGGTTTAGAACCAAATAAGAATACGTGACATCATCATTTGTTGAATTATGCATCCAAAGACATATTTTATTAAAGATAGAGTTGAAATAGAATAAAGTGACATCATCAGGGGCAAAGATGTGTTTTCCATAACACCTCTCTTTCTTATAAAGGATTATACTAATTTAAAACAGTAAATTTTCTTTTTTTGGGTAGAGTGTCTTCTAGACATAAGTGTGGTTTCACCGAACTAGGTCACCAATTATTTGTGTTCTTTATTACTTTAATTGTTATTTGATATCTAGTTTGTAAACTGTTTTTTTTTTTGTATACAATGTCCCAGACATTGTGCCTTACATGTTCTCAGAATCTATCATCTGTCATAAATCAGTTGTACATGTTGTTCCAGGCATCTGGTCAAACATTTGTCCCTGCCTAAATAAAATTTCAATTTGTATCAAAGCAGGTACCCTATTCTATTTAGGTGTGTTCCATGGTTCTTATTCTATTCAAGATGAATAATTTAAATGAATGAGGAGTTGTTCATAGACCAAAGATTCTTGATGGTATTAAGAATCCTCCAAAAAATAGAGCCAAAGGCAATTAAGAAGAGGGTGAAGACTAAGTAAAATGTGATTCTGAAGAAAATCTCACGTCTGCTAAGATCTTTAGTAAAGTCATGAGAAAATTAGATATGAGATATGGGAATAATTTCTCTTCAAAGGTTCAAGATAATAAGCAACACAATTTTAAGAGGTGTAATTTTCAGCATATAGGAAAAGATGGTGAAAGACAAAATCTCAATTGGATCCAATTCCTTAAATGCAAAGATTTTGGACATATTCAAGGTGAATGCTCAAGTTTTCAAAGGAAACAAAGAAGAATCTCAATTGTCACTAATGGTGAAGAAGGTGAATCTAATCAAGCAAACAATGTTGTGACTTTCAAAGACATGAAATAGATATACATATCGATGAACCATTAAATTCAAAGAAAACATGTATTACTCCTATTCAGAAAACAGATTGCAGAATGTCAGGCAACATGTCTTAACATCTTGTCAAACATGTTTACCAGAAAGCAGAAAGCAGAATGTCACAAATGATTACCAGTGTAATAATTTGTCTACTCCATTCCTCTTTATTGTTATAAATTACATTGTAGACAACCACATCATCAACATATATATCCCCAGTTGAATAAGAAGTATGAAACCTCCCAAGATATTTTCTTGTGAAGATTATTATTTTAACAGTAGTTGCAATAGACACATGATAAGATAAAGAAACAAGGTTATATTTTGTGATAGCAATAAGAGAATGAAATTTGTAAAGATAAATATAGTTGTTACCACTGTAGAGAAAAATGTTGAAGATTGTGTTTCAGACATTATGGATGACATTGTAGATATAGAAACTAAGATATAACACAGAAAGCTTAGAGGTTGTTGTTGAGAAAGATGTCAAATGTGTACTGATCTCAAGATTGAAGAAGGTAAAATTCATTAGGACTGTCAAGTTAGGAAGCAAACCAATATGTCATACAAGATGTTTCAACATCTTACTCATGCTTATGAATTACCATTTATGGACTTTATGAGACTCATGCAAGGAGTTGATAATGAAGGGATGACTGATGATCAGGCTAGAGGTCCTCCCAATATTGAACAACCAACAGTGGTTAGAAGAAGAAACTAAAAAAGATAAGTGATTATGACATAAAAAATATTGAAACCTTTATTAAAAATTCTTCTTCATATTTCTCACTATTAACAAATTCACTGATACTTTCTCCGTAACATGCAAAATTATCAAGAAATACAACATAACTTTGTGACAATGGCCTACAATATTGTACAAACAATAACATTACTTTTATAAAAATTACTATTTGCTACAACAAATGAAATTGAAGCAAATATTTTTTTTTTTAAAGGAAAAAGATATAAATTAATTTAATATGGTTATTATTTGCATCTTTGTCATTGGGTATTACTAAAATATGTTCATATTTATTGTATGTATCATATTAATTCGGCTTTAATTATATTGATTAGTTATAAATATTATTTATTAGATTTTATTAGTATTCATATAAAATTTGACAAGAGTAGTATAAGATTCACAAATCATATTAATTAAAAGCATATAATCATATTATTACATGGTATTAAGAGACCTATGTTTGTTTCCAACTTCTTCCTAGATTTTCTCTCTTTTCCCTCCTCCTTGGCCATGTCAACCCCGACCCCTCTCAATATGAGACTCTTACTACACCACCTCATTTTGCTTCACTAAAGAACCCACCAACATCAAGAACCACATCCGTGTTGTTCTTGAGATGGAAAACGTTCAATTTGGTACGTGGGTTGAACCTTTCAAAATTTGCACCCTCTCTCAAAAGTTCATTAATCACATTATTCCTCGGGCACCAAGCAAGCAGAAGAAGACATCCTAAACTGATGATGAGAAATAATTGTGGGAAACTTTCGATGCAATAGTTTTATAGTGGATTTATTCCACTATATCTTACAAACTTTTGACTACTATCATTGAACGAGACTTTGCTGGCATGAAGTCCTAGAATCGATTGAACAACATATTCTAGAACAATCAAAACACCCGCGCAGTCACTCTCGAGCATTTTTCTTCACTTTCATGGAGTATTTTTCCACCGCTTCTGCATACTATCAACGACTCAAGATGTATTTTTGGTCAATTAAAGAATGTTGAAGCCCCCATCTCTAATCAACAACTTGTTCTTCAACTTGTTTCCAGCCTCACTAATGCATACAAGGGAGTCGAAACACTAATACGTTAAAGCAACCCTCTTCCTTAAGTTTACCAGGCCCGTTTCATGCTTACCCTTGAAAAAACTGAACTAATCAAGATGGCGAACACCAAAGCACAAGTTGCCATTGTTACGACAACCAAAGGACCTTACTAAACCCTCCTTCTACAATTACACTTGTGGTGGCAAGAGTCACAAAAACCACAATTCTACCAACAAAAACTGCAACAGTCACAACAAAAGCGAAGGGTGTGGCCAATGTGGTAGCAGGGGTGGCGATGGCCAACCATCCCAATAAGTCATTGCCTCACCTTGGCAACCTTTTCCATCTCCCTGGCAGTAGTATCACTGGGGTTGGATATCACCACCATGGGGATTCTCTCCTTTGCACATATGTGTCTTCTCAATGGGCTCGTCGAAGTGGTCCTCCAAAGCAACCAGGTTATTGGGTCAATATCCTCTGGAATCCATAAACAGTGAAGCTTCCATGCATACCATGTCTCTGAATCCCCCATATAATCAATGATATATGGATACTAGAGGAACCTCTCATATGACAACATCACAAGGTAATCTCTCGTCTCATTATAATATGAGAAATTCAAATCAAAATATTATTGTTCACAGTGGACAACGAATTCCAATTCGTGGTTTTGGAAAATCAACCCTTTATATACTTACACAACCTTCAAAACTCTATAATGTCATATATGACCCGCAAATTATTAAAAGTATAATTTTTATGTGAGGTCTCACTACTGACAATAATGTTTCTATTGCTTTTGACCCTTTTGGATTCTCTGTGAATGACTTTCATACGAGGATGACACTAATGAGACGTGATAATATTGGAGACCTTTATCCTATCACCAATAGTTATTCAATCTCCCATCCATCCATATTTGTGACTCTCACTTCCAGTTTATGGCACCGTCTCTTGGGGCACCTAAGTTCCTCGATTTTACAATCTCTTAGAAAAAATAAGTACATTAGTTGTAAAAACTTCGCTTCATCTTCTATTTGTAACTCGTGTTTTTGGGAAACATATTAAATTGTCATTTTATGCTTCTCAACCTCATACTTTGATGCCTTTTGATATCATGCATAGAAATTTATGGACTACATCTATTTTAACCACAGTTGGGTATAAATATTATGTTCTTTTCTTGGATGACTCCTCTACTTTTTTGTGGACTTTCCCGATTAGAAAATAGTCATAGGTATATTCCATTTATATTTCTTGAGTTCTCTCATTAAAACTTAGTTTGCTGAATCCATTAAATATTTTCAATGACAATGGACGCGAATTTGACAATGAGTTTTTCAGAAAATATTGTTACGCCAACAGCCTTATTTTTTGTTTCTCTTGCCTGCATACTTCTTCTCATAATGGTAAATTGGAACAAAAAATATGTACCAAAAATAATATGATTCGCACTCTCATTACTCATTCTTCCATGCCCACTTCCTTTTAGCTTCATGCTCTTCAAATGGCAACTTATCTGTTAAATATTCTCCGACACCTGCCCAGATCTTATATCATCGGGATCCAACTTATACACACCTCTGGGTTTTTGATTATTCATGTTACCCTCTATTTTCTTCTACCAATATCCATAAATTACAACCTTGATATATCTCATGTGTGTTCTTATGCTACCCGTCCAATCACAGAGGATATAAATGTTATGATTTGTCAAGCAGAAAAATAATTATTTCACAACATGTAATCTTTGATGAAACACAATTTCCTCTAGCTAAGTTACACTTACCCTCTCATACTACATATGTTTTTTAGATGATACTCTACATCCTTTCCGCGTACATGACTAGAAAAATCCATTTTTGTATCCTATTACAGCTAAATCCCCAACTACTCCCACCATCATCCAAACCTACCATGTTCTGCCCACTATCATACAAATCGACCGTGGTCCGCCCACCATCAACCAAACCGACTATGTTCCGCCAACTATCATCCAAATCGATAATGTTTCGTCCACCATTA